GGGTGTGCGTCATAATAATCTGGCCACTCAGTGTATATATATCATGATGAGAGTATCTCCTTTTTATACTTTGTAGAGTTTTATTTGCTTGGTATTAGTTACTTTCATTCAGGATTATGAAGTCGTTTTCCCGGCGTGTTTCTATGACTTGTATTCCATGGACTGTATGTGGCATCTGTATGTCCTCGTTCTTCTCCTCTCACCGCCTTCTGCCATTCTTCTTACAGGCCACGGAGGAGAAGGAGGAGATGGAGGAGCTCCAGGCCTACAACCGCCGCCTCCTCCACAATATTCTTCCCAAGGACGTGGCCGCCCACTTCCTGGCGCGGGAGAGGCGCAACGACGAGCTCTATTACCAGTCGTGTGAGTGCGTCGCGGTCATGTTCGCCTCCATTAGCAACTTCTCCGAGTTCTACGTGGAGCTGGAAGCCAACAACGAGGGGGTGGAGTGTCTGCGGCTCCTCAATGAGATCATCGCCGACTTCGATGAGGTGAGGGCCGGGGTCTGGGGGTGGCCGTCTTCTCCGCGTCTTCTCCGCGTCTTCTCCAGGGGCCAGAGATTTACCCCGGGGCCCGGGGTCATTGGGGTGATGAGACAATCCATGACACAAACATCCACTTTATTTAAAAGGTTCCCTCACGCCCGCTATACAATATGGCTGACATCATAGAGCATCACAGAGCCCACTGTGTCACTGCCCCGCCTCCTCTCTGGGCTGTGGGACATCACTGGTGATACCCACCCTGGGCTCTCTCTAGCTCTACTACCACCCATCCTCTTCATCGACCTACAAGGCTGGCAGTCCCATTTCAACTTTCAGCTGTTGTGTGGCAGCTCAGTATAAAGACAGATGTAAAGCAAATTTTACCAGCCGAGTTTAACCCCCAAATACCCACAGACTGCAAATTACCATTCTCAGTCAGGAGTCCCATAATACATCTAACTGGGAGCGCGCACAGTCATTGGCAGCCAATCAGTGCGATTTCCCAGTCATGTGATCAATGTGACAGCCAATCCTGGGGGATCACATGAGGTTTTGCTTACAAACAAACCTGTTCTGACATCACGTGCACAGAGAGCGAAGCACGGAGCATCGCGGTGTGTAACAGAATAATACAAAGTGTCAAAAGTCGAAGTAAAAACTGTAGGCCTCATTCACAATGGAATCGGTGGCAGGTACAGCTCGGTGCTGCGTGCACGGCCGTATCCGGGGGCAGCTCCCGGGAAGGACAGGCGCTGCGTGTGATTAGTACGCGGCCGTACTCCGTCCTTCTCTATGGGAGTACGTGGCCGTACGCCGCCCTACGCTCACCCCAAGTGCAGGTCCCCGTACGGGTGCGGGTGTCCCAGCTCGGACGCAGACAGAATCCATCCTGTCAGTGTACGAGTACGCTCACCTGCACGGACGTGCAGGGCGGGTAAGCGCAGGGCTGCGTAGTCCCATAGAGAAGGACGGCGTACGGCCGCGTACTAATCACACGCAGCACCTGTCCTTCCCGGGAGCTGCCCCGGGATACGGCCGCGCACGAAGCATGGAGCACCCCACGTAATGTCCGATAAAGTCACGGGTCGGATAGAATGATAGAACGCCGGCTCCTCAGGTTGCTGGGCCGTGTCTCCTCCTCCGCGTTCCTCAGCGTCCTCACATCCTACACACTGTATAGAACATGATGACACAAGGATTCTTAGACCGCTGCAGTGGAGAGGGGAGAGAGGCTTTAGGGAGCGGCCTAAGAACAAGCCGGCTCGGATGATCGGGCGAGTATAACTTTTCTTTTTTAGCACCCAGTCGGCGTCGCAAGGGGGGTGCGGCCATTGGAGGGGGTGACACCAAAATGACTGACAGTGTCAGGAGAGAGGAGGGGACCCGGCGGCATACCTCATCCCGTCCCCTCCTCTCTCTGCCGGCAGATGGCCGCGTCGATGCGCGATGGCGTCACGGCGGGGTGTCACCCGAGTCTCCGCTCCGGGTGACACC